ATTGTATGAGTCTCCACAGGATAATGTGGGATATTTTACATTGAATGATAATATTAATATAACATGTCATTAATCAAATATACTACAAATAGTTTAAACTTGGAGGCTACAATATAACTCTGTTGCATATTATTGAAAGTGTTCTTTGTTTAAATTCAATCTTTATTTGTAGATTGATATAATAATCTGGAAAAAATAAACAAAATATTTATTTAATATCTTTAAATTTTTAGGGTGAGTTTTATCACTTCCAATATGAAAGTAAGCATTTGAGTGCACTTTGAGGTTGCCTAATTTTATGTCCTTGGGAATGGTACTTCTATATTTATTCACTGCACCCAAGAGTTATGAATGCATATCTGGTAGGACAGAGAAGCAGTCAGTGATCAAATCCCTAGAGTATGACTGGAATACTCTCCCAGGGTGTATACAGTAGATGGTTGCCCATTGTGCGAAACCTAAAATCTAAAAAATATTGAATCTTTGCATTGAGTACAGGTTTGATATATTAAATACAGGTCTCCCTTCAATTAAACACCTTTTTGGGACTGGAGTTTTCATGGTCTTTAGCAGCTTTGGTCTCTAAATTAGAATAATAAAGATAAAAGACAATTGTTAAAATAGGACTACAGAAAACAGTCTTTAATTGGAGGTGGTCCTTAATTGGAGGGGTCTCTAATTAGAGGGAGACCTGTATAAACATACTGTATTAAAATAAATTTAAATATAATTAATTCCACTAATTCTATATTGTCTCTCAGAAACACTATTTGACTTTACTGCCAAAGGCAGGCCTACATAAATCTAAACATCTAAAATTATGATGGATATATTTATGGGAAATAAAAAGTTAAACAATAAAAATGAATTCCAAAAGAAAGCCAAGTTTGGAATTTGTCACAACAAAATGGCCAGTGATGTCATGCTATGTATAATTGCACTTTACCCATGAACCTTTAGTCCTGATTCGATCGATTGATGCTGTTTTAATATTAATTTATCAAATATTATAATCAATCTATCAGTCAAACATTTAAAATTGTTAAATACAAGATAAGGATGATCCATTTTTCCTAATATGGAAATAGCCTGTCAATTATAAATCACGTTATTACCCCTGCCTTTCCTTCTGCTATTAAAATCAATTAGATCAGGACATTAACTTAAGTCGCCTTCTCCATTATCCTACATTACGGTAACTAATCATCATATGTTATACAACCTTAACTTGTCCCACTTGCAATGAATAACAAAATTTCACGACTCAGTATATTTCATTTCCATTTTATATATTTATACTTTTTTATGGAATTTTTTACTGTTGGAACCACTCCAAGGTTATTGTAGGAAGTAAAAAATAAAAGAATAAAAATAAAATCAAAACAGCCACTGAGCAAGCTTTTGCCTAATTGTAATCCTGACAAATAAGAATCTGTTCACATAGAGGCATTACTGTAACAACAAAGATGGGTGGGGGAGGGAAATGGAGATAGGAGATTTGGGATAAGAGTTGTTTGAGAGAGGTTCTACAATTGTTCACTAAACATATAGAGCACACCATGGGTCAGTAAAACAATACAGTATGCAAATAAACGTCGCTACTCTATTGCTGCATGCTGTACTAAATGGTAAACACCACTGAAACCCACCAGGTACCCACATACCCCAGATAAAAATCAAATTTACAGTACAGTGTAGCAGAAAGCCATATGATGTTTTCACTTGGGAAGCAACGACCGTGAGTGTAACATTGATTAAGTGTGCTTCATTTCAAAGTGTATCAAATACCGAAACAATCTTTAACACCTCCTACCAATCCGCCTCCTTGCACATTTTATTATTGCATGAATAAGCACCAAAGGACACAATGGTATTTGCACGTTTTCTATAAAAACAGATCTGATTATTAAAAAGCCACTAGAATTGAAAAATAGACCTTGGGTAATATCAAACAAAAGCACATTTAGATCCTGGGAACTAGATCAATAAATGTATCATATTTAAGTACTGATCAATATTGTTGTTGTTTAAGTATAAATTATGCTTTTAAAATACAATTTAGTCTTTATAGTACTATTTGTATGTACTTTCATTAGTATTGTGTCTATAAAAATACTGTACTACCTAGTATGTGGTCAATTTGATTTATCTTGATCTTGAAGCTAAAATATTAAAGCTTTATATTCATCCCTCTGTCAAAGTCTCTTACTTTACAATGTGGTAGTGCAGTTTTTCTCATCAATACTGTTTTAGCGGTGATATTGTAGTTGTATACTACTAAATGATTTTAAATTTATATATTATATATAAACACTTTACTTTTAGGAATTACATATTGTAGATAGGTTGGCTTTATTTTACTAGCTTTATCCCAGGAACTACAAACACTGTATAAAATCATTGAGAATTAAAAAACTGAAATATCATCTTCCATCATATTATAATTGCTAATTAGATTAATATCATAGTAGCTGGACCTAATGCTGGAAAATACACAGTACATGGCCAACGCAATGCCGTTGCTAATTTTTATACTGAATGGTAGACTCTGGTCAATAATGTCTGTGAAGTCTGCCTAAGTGTCTGTACCACAGAGACTAATTATTAATGAGCATATTGGCAATGGTTGTTAACCAGCTGCAGAAAAAGTGTTCGCAATTAAGTAGAACATTCTTCATGACCTAAGCAGGAAGAGACGACAAAATTTGTTATAGGCAATGTGACTTGGTTACCACATTTCTTCATTAGATCTCTAGTGTAGCCACAGCGCCAAATTAATTGTACAATTCGGACAGAATGCACAATTTAATGGGCAAACATAAAAAACCTTCCACTATCATATATGAGAATTCAACATTTTAATTAAATATTTTTAGGTTAATAATACTACTACAAACATATGGTGTCAATTTTATGTCTGGTTTATGTGGCACTATAGTAGATTCTAATTGTGTGGTCAAGCAATAAAGTTAGAATATTACCAATGGCATAATAAATTCTTACTTATTTACAATACTTTTTTATTTACAATGTCTCACTTAGCAGAGCTGAATCACATGAAACCTTTGTACATGTAAATCCAAAATATATTTGAAAAGGAAATGAGGAAGAATATCTTTTTCTACTTCAAAACTATAAAAATATAAATTCACAAAACAAGGTATAACAAAGTCTTGCTTTAACATACAAAGATTATACAGGTAAACCTAAAGCCATGATTATATCATATTTCGGGTTTCAAGAATCATTAGGCAATAGTTGATCAGACTTCATCTGATGATAGAAAATCTAATTAAATAAAACATCTTTCCATGACTGTGGAAGGTTGGTCAACACTCTACTTCATCAGATAAAGACTGATCAAATATCATGTCTGATTAAATATTTAAAGAATGTCTTTGAATGTCTTTTGGAAGTTGGTCAATACTCTACACTTCATCAGATAAATCTGATCAAATATCATATCTGATTAAATAAAGCATGTCTTTAAATGTCAGTTATATTTGTTGTTTACGTCACAAGTTAAAGTTTATTAGTCAACAAAATACAGTAAGTTTACTGTAGGCCTATCTCTCGATTCAGAAGACCGAGAGTAGAATTTACACTAGGCTAAGGCGAGAGATGAAGATGCACCTGCATAGCCTAGACACATTTTAAGTGAGTAACCATAGCCATACGCAATCTATGTGTATAATTGAAATGTCATTGTGATAGCTAATTCAACACTATTCCACTTTGAAGACAAAATTCCAACATTTAAACACATTTTTTTTGCCCTCTAAAGATCATAATTTTGTAATTTTTTTTATGTTTGGGAGAGGGCGTGGCCCCGAGTGGGTGAGGCCCGCCCATTGGCTCGGGGCCACTCCCACTGGCTTCCATTTTGGATGGCCTATTTCGTTTTTCTGGCTAAATCCCTGGTTGGAAGTCTGTCAATACTCCACCTCATCACATCAAACATCATATCTAATCAAATATTGAAGACATGTTTTTTCATGTCTGGTAGAGTTCAGCAAATGTTCTACTTCACCAGACAAAGTTTGACCAAACATTGTCCGCTTAATCTGACAAATAAGAGAGCAGCTTAGCTCAGTCGGCTAAACTGGTAGTAACCACTGTGTGTGCACTGAACCGTGGAGATCTCTAGGTCCCCATTTCAATTTCCATCGCTGCTCTCCTTGCATTTCAACTGGAGGGCTAAAATGCAAGTTACAATAGCGCACCATCTTTCGGATGAGACATTTAAGCATGTGTCCTGTGTGCATTATGGCCCATGTGCACGTTAAAGAACGCAGTACACTCTTCAGAAAAGAGTAGGGGATTGTTCCCGGTGTACTGCCCAATTCACCACCAGATTGACCCTATTAGAAACAAGGCATAAATATCTTTTATGCCTAGCCTAACTTTAATCGCAGCAGGTCGAAGTAATCAAATATTGTTTGAATTGATGATTTTTACAGGTTACTACAATCAAAATTAATGAGACTGAGTCATCAGACATAAGTAATTACCTTAGGCATTCTATTAAAAACTCCAATAATTTTGAATTATCAAAGATCCTATGTGGAGCTAATAAAACACGAAAAATAGAATTCACATTGAATTCTGCTTAGTTTGCATACATAATATGGACTTCATTAGTTTGCAATTAAAAGTTATTTTATTATTAAATATTGTACTTTAAAAAAATTAAAAAAACAATAACTTAGAACAAAAATAAATTTGGGAAAAAAAGGGTGTGGAAGTACTGTAGTTGGAGAACATAAGCCTTTCCAGATGAAATGTGAATTGAAATTAAAATATTTCCATATTGAACCCATCTGTCAGGCTCTTATCCACCTTACTGTTGCTTAGCAACAAAATAAATGCCAGTCGGAAAACAGATACGATTATCTGATTTAGCACATAAACTATTGACTTATAATTATGCAGATATCAAAACAAGAAGTACTGTACTGTATTTGTTTCTTATCATGTGAGAATCTTTCTGTTGGACTTACTTTGGAATACTGGCTAAGTAACGCAGGAGCCTCTTAAGATCATCTTCTCGTACCCGGTCTAAGTTTGGTTTAGCTAAAATAGTCAAAACAGGGCCACCTCTCTTATCACGACCTCCTGTAATAAAATAAAAATATGACTTGACAATAGAACTCTCAAACAACTGGAAGAAATCAACAACATGGGCACATTTTTCATGATTACCAGTCCCATCTAGTATAGCACAGACTTTTTTATCTGTAGAAAAAACAATTATCATTACTATTATTATAATCATTCTTATAAACAAAGGAAAAACATTTAAACTACTTTTATAGGATCATAAATTCTTTTTGTCAGTGTTAAGAAACAATTGTTTTGGCAGATTTGACAGAAATTTACAGTGAATTTTAAAATATCTCTTGCTTCCGGCAAATTGTCATTGTTCCAATGTGATTTAGTGAATGTGACTCAGTGACGAACAGTATATCTTGTGCATTGAGTCGTAAAGAATCAAGTATAAAGCGAAATCAACACTTGCTCTACATGACAATAACGACAAGGATAATGAATACAGTAATGATGATAATGAATAAAGATGATGACGATGATAATGATGATGATAATGACAATGCTGCTGATGAATGAAGATGACTGGTCATAACTGCCTATTTTAATAGCTCACAAACTATTTCACTAATCATGCTACAGTAGGCCAAGCTAGGTTGCAAATGTTTCACTAGACTACTGGACACATAGGAAAATACAGCCCAGAATATGTTTTTATTCATTTTATATGAAGTTTATGTAATATATTCATACCTTTTTTAATGTCAAAATTATTATTATTATTATTATTATTACTATCACTATGAAGAAAATATATTAAGCTTAAATATATTTTCCCCATCACTATCAACATAAAAAAAAAATCTACAGAAAAAAAAGGCAAAAATGTTTTAAATATCTTTGAACAAGAAATGGTAACTGAAGATTCTAAATTAAAATTAATATTTAAAGAACATATAAATTATTATGTATAATTTTGTGTAAATCAGTGCCCAAAAAAACTTAAATAAACTGACATTAAGTAAAGTATACTGAAGAGCGATTACCCATCATAACACTTCTTATCCGCTCTTAAAGAAAAACACTCTTAAAATGCTAATGCACGCTTCATGAAACAATTTAGTGTGATATTAACATCACATTTTCACTTGATAAACATAAAAGAATTCAGGTAGCAATGTCGATACAGTAGTATAATTACTGCATTTCTGTTATTTTTAAGCATTACGATTTTAATAATTTTATATTTTCATTTAAGTCTTACAATTTGAAGTCCATAACAATAACAATCATAATTTAATACTATTATTATAAATATTACAATTACTGTGGTATCTATTAAACAAACACCACGCATTTAAACAGACAACAAAATAAGAGTTGAACTGTAGCTAGGTGTTTAAGGAGAACCCTCTTCCGTACCATGCTACTGGTTAAAAAAATACAATCTCTTTTCTTATGAATAAAACAATTCCCTATAGTATCCATTGTTTACCGAAACTTATAGAAGAACAGTAAATCTTTGCTACCTATATTCTCAAGGTTGAAATGGATTCTGATCGACTATACCTGATACGAACGCCAATTTGTCCTTTAATATTGGTAAGACATCCACTGCACGGATACCCAAGCTCATGGAGGAACCTGGAGAAAAAAAACACAAAAGCCATTACCGTATCATGTACAATAAATTTGTGTTATTCATCAAATCATTGTAGGAATATTAGCATTATAAATTATGAATAAGCCCGTATTAATATATTGAAAACAAAATCCAAACAAAGGAATGACACACAAAATTATTATAATAAATTATATGCCAGTTTTTTTTATGGTGTACAGAGTCAAGGTCTCTGTGCGCGTCACATTAAACACCTGAGACTTGAACCTCCCACATTGCATAGTACTGTAGTTATAACATTATACTCCTTATCAACAACATGCTCAACTTGGATTTCAAAATAGGAGCACACTGTAAATAACATACATGCTCATTATCAACAATAGAACATAGTATATGTTTACTCAATAACGATAACGTAGTAAACCTTATGTATTCATGTAATACCATACGATAGTATTTTATGATTTATAATCTTCTATTTTAATTTATCAACATACATTTAATGTACTGGTACAGGTTATTGACATTGCATAAGTGAACTTTTTTTTTTATTTCAAATTTTCATTCATATTTCTTAATACAAATAGTACTAAGTTCAATAAAACAGAAAGAAAATGGTGAATACAGGACTTCCTCCACTTCCATTGTACTGTACCTATGATGAATTAAAATCATAACAAATTATTATTGAGTGGAGTTGAATATGCAGCTTAGTGGTTAAGATGCTTGCCTTCTAATCCCCGGGTCCTGGGTTCAATTCCTGTAACAGCAAGACTTTTTTTCATGACTAAAAAACGACTCCACTCCTAAGCCTCAAAGACTTCGCTGATAAAGGCATCAGATTATTTCATTTATTTAAGAGGGTCCCTGAATATCAGCCAATTAACCAACTAGGTTACGTTGGAAGAGCCACTGAGTGAAAGTAAACCCATTGTACTGTATCAACAAAAACAAAAAGATAATTTGAAATATGACCTTTGAATAATGGAGGTCATGCTAGAAATTTGCATTTCAAAATGTCAGAATAAATGGACTTATGTACACCTGACCTATTTTCCTTTCATGCATAAAATATTAAGAGGACCTTTAAGTACTACAGTAGAAACTGTCTAATTTATCTATGGTATCCACTACTTCATTAGTATTAATAATTTACTAATTGATTGATTAAATGATTAATTGATTAAATGAATGATTGATTGAATTGATAGAATGATTGACTAATCTGTAAACCTTCAATAATGTCCACTTGAATTCCTGTTATTACCCCTCACACTTTTGACTCTTACCCCCTTGCATACCTGCTAACATTGTGGACTCCCGATACCTTTTTAAAGTTTACAGTATATATTGTACACACACTTTTGCTGTAAAGGGGTCATCATATTGGATGCTTCCTAATATTGTTTACATTTGAAAATTCTATCATTATACAGTAGTACTTATAATGTTTTGCAAACATTATAGTACAATTTGATGGCTTTAGGTAAAAGAAATATTTAATTAAGATGAACAAAGAGTTCCTAATACAGTCTACTCCATTTCTTCAACCTTGTAAAATCTGGTCTCTGTGGAAATGCCAGACATATTCCTTAATTAACAATTTAACCAGTAACTATGGTAACATATTGTTCTTACTGCTTTGAACAAATCTTGGAAGCAAATACTTAAAGGGATTAAACAAATCCCATGTTTCCTGTTTGAAGGATTACGTACTGACTTACTGGATTCAATACAATATTGGAACACAATCTGGGGTTACACAATCACATTTCTACAGTACTCTGTTTACCAATAGCATTTCTGTACAAAATAAGATTATAAACCTGATTATCATGTTATTACAATATGAATAGCAAACTGGGTGGGAATGTTAGGAATCAAGAATAATAAGATAAGCTAGCAGTGATGTATCTAGGAGTATTGAAAAGATGGGGGGGGGGGAACTGATGCAGGGCATGGTAGTGGAGAGGGGAAGGGAGCTTGATGATTAAGTGAGGGGGAACCTGCTCTGCAAAAATCAGGTGATACAAAGACATTTTTATCTACTTGTTCATAATGTTTTTGCTCCAAATATTAACAACTGGGGGAGGGGCAACTGGGAGAGAACGCAAGTTTAGTGATGACTATTGTATTAGAAACCTAATTGTGGAATGCATCAAGACTTGAAAGAAATATTGAACACATAGATATTGCTTAAGTGAGACCCCGACTGGAACAGTATTATACTGTGATCATGCATTTGGATCCTGAGTGGGATGTGGTACTTCAGGCCTACAGTATTACAGTAATAATTCCTGTAGATCAATAGCTTGATTAACAGTGTAATGAATGGATTTGCAAACCCTGGGTACTTTGTACAGTAATTTACCGTAGTGATCAAAAATTGGTACATTCTTTGGGAATGATTTCATAATTTCATATTGGTGAACAAATTGGGCATTTTGTAATAACCAGAATGGATTGAGAAACAGGGAATGTTGTAATACTGTAATAACGTAATAATCAGCATGGTTTGAAAACAGGTTGGGAATGCCGTCCTACTGTAGTAATTAGTAATCACCAGAAACCTCATGCTGAGTCAAGGTAACCATTGATCAGAAAATCGATGGAAAATTGTGTAATTAGTTACCATGGATACAAAATTTAACTGGGATTGATAGTATATAACACCAAACATACTTTTATTAAATGCTTTAAAATTTATGTTTCATATTGAATTTTTCTAATAATTATTTTTGATCCAATGTATTTGGGGGATCATATTTCAGTAATGGAGTGTACAAGAGCATCTAAGTATTTTCAGTTATTATATTAGGAAGCACAGCAGGTGACAACTCAAGTCAACCCAGGGGTCTGCATCGTTGCACTATATGGCTTGCGATAGCTGAACAACACCGGCATATCAACATAAAGTGTACTTTGAACATCAAATTCTATCAAAAATCATATTTTACAGTTAATAAAATATTGTACATAATATGATCATAACCATGGTCTAATAGATTGGGGCCAACAAAAACAGTGGTACATTAGTTAACTTCTCATGCACTCCTTTGAAAAATAAAATGCTATAAGTCTAACGTAATTATAAATAAATGAATAATTATATATAAATAAAATAAATAAAATAAAATATAACACACAAACAATAAAAGGACAATATCATCAGTATCAAAATCAACCTCCCAGCAGACACATGTGTTTACATTGTCAAATGTCAGTTTTGTAGTTTTTGCAATTTTTTTATGAAGGGCCTATAGAACAATTCCCAAATGTTTCATTATCCATAGTTAATTTTAATTATCCAACTATAAACAATGGAACTTTGATGATTAGTTCATATGCTGTAGCAAATTAACATCGAGGTAATATCTTATAATATACTGTATCTTTTACTGTCGATGCTACAAATTGGTCACAAAATTGAAATTTATAGCATATATCACTTGTGCGTTGACAAAATAAATGAGAAACAATTAATTGAGGTACTGTCTTTCTTAGGTACAGTACTTGATGTGCTTTAGCAGCTTATGGGTAGTTTTTGTACTGTTGGATTATGGGTAGTCATAACTACAATACTCAAATAACATTGACATTAAATTTAGCAAGTAAACACAAAATATACAGTAGTTGAGCATACTGACATTTCTAAGGCTTTAACTGTCAAGCAAATCTTTGAATATTAAATTTCTAAAAATAATTCTTGTTACAAAAAAATAACTGATTAAAACAATCGTCGCACTTTGCCATTTTCTAAGAAATTCAAGTTTCGCCTCATTGATGCCCGTACTGTAAATATCATGTTTGAAATGAAATTGCACTTTTATTAATTGGATACAACGACGAGAGCATCAGAGTCCAAACTGTGGCGACATAGCAGCTGCCTTAAGATTCAGAAATAACATTAACTTAATATTGATCTAATATTATTGATTTGACGCACAGAATTATGACTAATATCAAATAGAGGTAGAAACAATAAAGAATTTGTAAGTGGAATATGGCAAAAAGAATGATGACATGGATGATAAATAAACAATGATGTATATAAACATTTACAACATCAAAATTAAAGAGTGCTGTGAAATACAGTGATTTATTATAACATACAGTAGATTAATATAGTAGTGATGATAATGAAGAAGACAACAATGTTGTGATGATAATGAAGAAGAGAACAATGTCGGTAACAATAACAAAGATGAAGATAGTGATGGTTATACAGTAGTGATAATAATAACAATGATAATAGTGACAATAATTATAATGATGATAATAATGATTATTATGTTAATTATAAATGAAGAAGAATGTTAATGGTGTGAGAATGATGGTTGATGAAGATTGATGATAACCTGATAATTTTACTGATGTCAATGATGTTGATTACGATGATGATGGATGACAAGGATGATCAAAATTATGTTAGTGACGGTAATAATGATTGACAATAATAAGGATGATGATGATGATGACGACGAAGGCAGCGAAAATATCAATGATGATGTCCACAACGATGACGATCCCAATCATCTGCACAATCTTCATTTCAATCCTCACTAATACGTGAGAATGATGATTATGATGATGACAAAGGTGATGATGAAAATTATGTTGAAAGATGATAATAAGGATGATGATGATGATGATGATGATGCCAACCATGTGTAATGTAAAATAACTCACAATCTACTAAATTCTGAGTAGTGAATTAACCTACTGTTATCAACAAATGTTCATTGAAAAAACAAGAGTAAATTAGACTGCCAAAGGTAGTCAGTCTGTCTGATCTGAACTTATGATTGTGCTTCCCATCTGTACTTATGAACTCTCCATTACCCAACACTGCAAAGATGAGGTGTTTCAATCAATAATAGCAGGCATAATATCAATTCTGATTACTCTACTGGGGTCATGACTGACATCCCGGTGAATATTAATGTTTGATGATGAAAGTACCAATGCATTATGCAACTTCTTTATAATTTCCAAACATAAACAATTCACTATGCCATAA